TTAACAATATGACTGCCGGAAAAAAAACAAACAAACAAGGAAGTTGAGTTAGATCTTTACACTAAAGATCGCAGCTGTTAGCTTAGCTTAGCTCACAGGAACTCTGCTAGCTTGCAGCAGCTCTGAAGCTCATGAATTAACACAACATGTTTTGTTTAAATACATAAATTGAAGTGTAACTGATTCTTATAGTTTCTTGTACGGGCGCAGTAACTTTGGAAAGTGTCAGTTTGTGAAGTTTTGGAGGTGCTCGTGTTCCCTCTGTGTCCAGTGTTTGTGCTGAGCTAAGCTAACTAGCTGCTAGCGGTAGCTTTGTTTAAGTTTGTTTAAACATACATACTCTAGACTTGAGGTCAAATTAATAACAGATTTTTGTATATAGTTTCTGCAGTCCACTTTTAAATATAAGCTATAAATATAAATGTGTATTAAGTCTTTACAATTACACTTAAATTTAATATTAATGCGTGTTACTCCAAAAAAAAAAAATGTTTCCCCCATGGATCCATAAAGGTCACGGTTGTGCGTCTTTCATCTCTGACATTTATTTTTCACCTGACAGCTCTGTTTTCCTGCCCCTGACAACCTCATACATCTCAGACCTTGTGTATGTGATGAAGTCACCGTGTGATATATAGGCGTGCTGTGTGAGAAAAAGCAGTTTGCATGCTCAGCAGCCCCGGGGAATTTACCGCGGCCCGTACGACAGCGTCTGCTTCCAGTGATACTGTAGCTTTTCAAGCTGAAGAGACAGTGTAGTCTGACTCACAGAGAGCTTTTTGTTCCTTTCAGCGGCTACAAAATCTGCTTTTCACTGAGATGTCAAGGCAGTCAAGGACTCAAGTCCGGCTTGTTTTTTTTCTGAAAGGAGACTGCTGTCACACTGAAGAGCTGAGTGTTAACACTGTTGAGTAAATGCTGAACTATTTTATCCCATTTAGAGCGGTGGCCACAGTAATTCCTGATTTTTTCTTCTTTAGTTTTTGTTTCCTCTGAACGCTGCTCTGCGAGCTTGACCCCATTTTTCAAAAGTGGTTTAAGCTAATGTAACATTAGCAACTTTAGAGCTGAGGAAGTATATTACAAACATTTTAACTACAAAATGAAGCTGCCTAAATCTCTCTTAAAGTAGATTTAAACTTAAGAGATTTGATTGTAACACATTTACATCATATTTTATTATATAATTTAGCTTTAATCTATGATACGGACTCAGATTTAAGTGAAATTAATTATTTAAACCCAACAATTTATGTTTATGATACGTAATTTTGTACATCCTAGTGTTTAAATGACAAATCCCCATCTAAATGTGGGTTAATTACCATGTTTTGTGGTTAACAATAACACCTTTGGTTGAATGCACTTCTTTTCCTCATGGCAAATCAATTGAAATTTGTATTAGCCCCCATTTTTAAGTGTACAAATTTCATTTTAGAGCCTCTTTGTACCATTTATAGATATTTTACTTTAAACAATACACCAAATGATATTGTTGACATTTCAAAAATGTACATGTTCTTCGTCATTTGCATCTGAAAATGACTTCATGTTTGGAGTTCAAGTTGGAAAGTCTGGATCTAGCTAACTGTAAATAAACTGAATAAACAGGTTTGAATCAAGGGACATTTTCTCTGACAAAGACCAGGCTTGTGTCAAATCATCAACAATCAAATCAAGCTAAATCATTTAACTGCATATGAAGAACAGGGCTCAACAGGGGATTTACAGTGTTGTTGACATGATTTTTGTTTATTCCCAAAGTCTCCCTCTCTCTGTTTAACTGGGTCGTTAAAATAATAAACCTTAAAACGTCAGAACAGAAGTAAACTTTGCATCGCCAAACAAAGCCCATATAAAATCCACTGGAGGAATAAACTGCATTTATGGTTTCTAGGAAATTTGACTCTCGGCATGTCTGAAAACCACAGTCACGTCTCAGCAGCAGGGCTTTGTGACAGATCAGGAAACAAACCAGCCATAAATAGGCCACACCTGTGCAGTCATCATCACAGGTGTTTCCTCTTCCCCATATGAGTCAAACACATATCACCTCTAATTCAGAATTACTCAGATTTAATACACGAGCCTCCTTTTTTGTGCATTCAATGTGAAGCAGACTTAAAGAGATTCTTGTTCTTGTTATATTTTAGATAATATATCCATTTGATTTGATGCTGCAGTGACATTTTTCAGTCCTTCAGGTATTTTATGTCCAATTTCGACACAGAAATCAGACACCTGTGTAGTTTTGTTGGTTACAAATCTTTTTTCCATAAACCGTGAAGATGTGCCGGGAACCGAGTTGTTTACACGACAGGTGCTGAAGCCCATATCTGATTCTTCTTAAGAGCATGTTTTTACCTGCTTTGACCTACATCTGATTCCTGTGTTTACACAAGCTCCCTTTTGTTTATGATTGAAACAACTAGAAGTGGTGCACACAACCTCGCACTCAAATTACCACCTCTAAAGGTGAACTAATAATTCCAGCCATCGCTTTCTACATGAACACCGAGGTGAACAACAAACAGAAGGTCCTCGATTTCAGCCTGAAATTGTGCAGAAATGATTGTAGTCAGAGGAAAGTGTGAAAACAGGTGAGAACACATTTCTACATTTATGTCCTGTGAGCAAAAACAATTCTAATTTAGTTTTAGATTTCAACTCCATCTCACAGTTTTTACAGATAAATTAACTCTAATATAGCTCCATGTAAACTCAGTACACCCATCAATACTTGTTTGCTTATAATGGAAGACAGGTGTGCTTCCTCTGAGTAAATTAGGTAAACACCTGGGATAGCAGCGCTCCTTAAAAACAAGCAAAACATCTCAATCCCACTGTCACATTTTACATCTTTCTCTCACTCAATGAACAGAAAACTCACTTCTCTTCAATTCCATTTGCATTTATTCTAAAGGGAAAATATATAATTCAATAAATATTGTGGCAACAACATTGGCAAAGACATTTTGAAGGTGACATCAACATTCAAGAAAACAAGATAATGTACATGGGGAGGAGACAACAGATTAGAAAATGAAGATAAGAGTCGGGGGCCGGGTGCTCTGCCAAGTGTGACAGCGCCGGCATTTCAACAAGCTAATGGGGGAGTTTGAAAGTTACAATAAAAGTGCATCAATGCCTGATATTCAAACAGCTTCTTAATTGCACTGTTAGAGGAAAACCACAAATTCGAACACACTGTTTTTCCAGACAAGTTGACCATTTGTTGTTTACATTTTGTCATGTTTCAAAAACTGAACCGACCATGTAGGAAAAATAAAATCCTCCAATTTTGAGTTCACACCAGAAAGCGTCTTGAAATATGTGGTGAGGGCCAATTAGTAAACTACTGCAGCTGGCGAGCTAACCGCTAACACACTATCCAGCCTGACTAACGCTAGTCAGATACAATAGCCCCTTGAGCTAATGTCTATTTTCTCTCTTTGTACTGTTTACTCCCTCCTGCCATTAGTATTCTCAGGATTTTACATCATTTCATTCAATAAAAAGTCACTGAAGGGAGGAAAACACTCCATGCTAACAGGTGTGCTAAGTGTTAGCTAGCAGGTTTTGTTGCTAACAGTCAACAAGTTCACACAGTTTATTCAAAACTCATATCTGTACCAACGAATCCTGTCTCAAACCACCTTTTCTATTTGTGGAGCAGTTAATTAGGTTAAATAAACGTGAAACACAGCTAATTAGCTACGCTAGCTTCCTCTAGCTCCGTGTTAGCACTGTCAAAACTGTTCACTATCGTTCAAAAGGTGCAAATTCACCATATCTTAAACTTGAATACACTACTTTTTCCATTGGAGAGAGTTTATTTTCCTGTGAATTTCTGCTGTTAAAACGCTGGCGTGACTGGACCATTATGAAGCTATTACCCAACAACAGAGTCAGAGCACTTGAGGGAAATGCAAAGCAGGGAGCTGTGATGGTTTTCAGAGCCTAATAAACAAGCTTTAATTGTTGCTTTCATTTCCTCTCCCCTCTCTAAAGTGCGGTGGGAAAGCGAGTCGCAGTATAAACTGTGGCTGTCAGACTGTCAGGACATCCTCATTTAACGCAATTAGCCGGATTTTCACTTGCAAAGTGTTGGTCAATTAAAGCCCTTTGGCCCATTAAGGGTTTCAAAACGTTATTTCTGTTTAATTTCATTTCATTTAGAAATTGCATTTGTTCATCACATGTACTGAAGAAACTGTTGGCGAAACCCTCGAGGCCTTTTTGCTTATGGCTCCCAGTCTCATCCGGAGGAGTCCATGAATCTGACGAGTACGGAGAGCAGTTAGGATAATCTGTCTTCAGAGAGTCCTTATGAGCATATAGCCGTTGAGGGGAAATAAACGGGCACGCAGTGACCGTCTGACTGATACAGGCGAGTAGTTTTTGAACTCAAACAGCTTGGTTGCGATTAATGGTTCGTCTCCTACGATCAGCTGTTCGTGGTAGAAAACTAAAATCAAAACAATGACGCAGTTACACACCAATGACTTCACATTATACCGACGACATATCAAAGACGTGGGGGGGTGGGGGTGGGGACACACACACACACACACACACACACACAGCGTCAGGTTTCCTCTGCACGGGACTAAGAAACTCCTCCTCTAATCTCCTCTGCACAGACTAACAGTTACAGGAGCAGGGGTGAGAGAGTGAATCAGTTCCAAACCACAGTGACGACTTGTTGTATAAGCCCATCGAGCAAAACGTCTTTGATCCGGCACAAACAACAGCAGCTCCTCTTTTTCTCCCCCCCTCCCACCTCCTCCCACCCCCAGGCAGCAAACCTCCATCGCCAATCAATGTTCTCAAACCCTTCCTTTACAAATGAGCGTCCCTTTAATGACATCACTCCTCCTACTCATTTCCTGTTGGTGTGGAAAGCCTCGACCGCGTCCGCTCCTTCCTCCCGGAGGAAGCGGGTCACTTCCCCGAGCAGGTAGCCCGCTGACAGATCGCTTCCTTGTCCGATAGGGCGGGGGGGGGGGCCACATGGATTGGGACGCTACTACGCATTGGGTTTTCATTGGTGCAGAGTATTCCAGTAACATGTACATGAATAGAAGCTTATAAAACCCCTCTCCGGACAAATCGGGGGTCTTTAGCATGCAGGAAAGAGCGCTGCCCCGTAGCTTCCTGCTCGCACTGTGCTCTGTCCTCATTCTCCTCAGTCTGATCCCCCTCAGTCCGAACAGTCACATGACCGAGCAACTTTTGGCTTTGTCCTTCCGGAGGTCTGTGGCCACGGCCGCCAGGTCGGGCCTCCCGGGCATGTGTGAAATCCTCTTGTTGGCGCGGGCGGCCTTGCTGCGCTTGACGTTTTTGTTGTTCTTGTTGATGCAAGCCAGCGTGGCCACGTGGAAAATGTCTCTCACGCTGTTCTCCGACTGCTGAGCCGAGCACTCGATGTAGGGCGCCGAGATCTGCTTGGCCATGCTGGAACCCTGAGGAGGCAAGACGCCAAATGTGGTCACCAGCGGAAGAAAAGGCTTTTGAGGTGGGGTGGGGGGGGTCAGGTTAGCTAGAGGTTATCACGTGTACTCGCGTCAACAATGACGAAAGGATTTAAACATGGCTTAAAGCAGAGTACAATGAGTTATTCATCAGAGATTAGTTAAAGAACTGCATTCAAATATCTGAAATATCTCAAATCAGCGTACCTGGTCATACGAGACGGGCGTCTGTCTGTGGTTGGAGAGCTCCACCAGCGTGCTCAGGTCAGTGCGCAGGTCTGATTTACATCCAACCAACAGCATCTTAGTGTTGGGACAAAACTCCTGGATCTCCCCTTTCCACTGTGGAGAAAAGACAAAAGCTCTCAGTCGTGCATCAATCAGAGAGAAGACACTGTTTTCTCCACAATTCATTCAGCGTCAAAAGGAGAAATTATCTGGTTTAATATGAGGAAAACATCAAAATCTATTCACAATTTCCCAATAGATCACAAATAAATACAAAGCAGACGAAGACTCGAGATTGAAAATGGTGATTGAGCTGTTCAAATATGTGTTAAAATATGCAGCCGGATCCCACGAGTTTCACCCCCCCCCTGTCCGTCGCCCGCCCTTTAAGTACAAAGGTTAAAGCTGCCACTTCCTGGAGCCCCTCACACTTTGAACCCTGGACAGAAACAACAAATAATCCCCGTGTTTCCTCCATGACAACAATAAATGCTGTGTGATCAATGGTATTTCTCCGGGGGCTTTAATCTGAGGCTAATGCGCCTCAGGGCTGACTGGCTGGTTGGCTGAGTGTCTGGGGATGGCTGGCTGGTCAGGGGATCAAGTTCATCGACACCCAAAGAGGAAGTTGTTGTATCCATCACTCTCTGTCTGCACAAGCCCCACTTGACTGTACCAGAGCTAATTCTGACGTAGACGATCATTGTCTGAAACGTGACCTTTGCTACGGCACTTAAACCACTCACTCACACACCAGAACAACAGATTCATATATTCCTACTTACTGCTAATGATTGATCCAACTAAAGTGTGCAGAAGAGATGTGCAAGAAGTTCACATTTAAACCTACAATATGGCTGCCATAATTTAATTTAATTTGGACCTTATGTGACTGGTTTTGTAACTTTTATGAAGAGCTAAAAAAAAAAAACATAATGAAAACAGGAAGTTCCTTTCAAAAGAAGAGCACAAACAAGCCGTGTGTGACTGCAGAAATCGATGCTTTTACATTCTTCACAACCCGAGTCTCATCAAAGGCTTCCACCAGTCAGTCGACTGATTCTCCCTGCCCTGCTTCATGTTCAATACACGCTCCAACATGTGGGAGTCGGCCACGGCCACAGTCATCAGATATTAACCACCGAGCTGCCGGTGGTTAATATCTGATGACTGTGGCCGTGGCTGACTCCCATGTGAGTAACTGGTGCTTCGGCAGCCCGTCAGTCTGAGTTAAAGGCTGTGAACAGCGTTACTTCCTTCTCCCAGCCGCCCCGGGGATTTGACCCAGCGACCTTCCAGTCACACTACAGCTTTACAACTTCACATCACAAGTTCTGACCAAGGTTACAGAAAAAAAAAAAAAAACCCCTTAAACTTAAACTTTTGATCCAGTTAAATGCAGCATCGCCTTTTGTCAGCCACATCAAACCAAATCCAAGTGATCAGACTTTAAAGTGGAGGAATGTTTAGAGTTTAAAAGGCTAAGACTTCCACTAAGTACATATCAAAGGCCTGATGATCGTCTCCTGAACGAGCGAGTCGGCAACAAACCTTTTTCAGTACGCTGTCGAGGGTTTCGGGGCGGCTGATGTCGAAGCAGATGAGGACGGCGTCGGAGTCTGGGTAGGAGAGAGGCCTCACGTTGTCGTAGTACGGAGATCCTGGAACAGAGGGGGAAGAAAAATAAAACATTCAGATTCAATTTGAAGCCGTTGCGCAAGGACATGGACAAACTTGCACGCACCCAGAGTTTATGCAACAGAACTGGTCAGTTTGACCTCATTTCCAGTAAATTAATGAAATCACTTCAACTGCTCCAGATTCAATTTGCTATTTTCTAAACAGGACAACCTTGACATCCGTGCTTTAGAACAGAAAACAGAACAATTTGTTGTTTTGCAGAAGACGTCCAATTTAAGACCTGTTCAGTAGATGGTACTTTTACAACCAGGAGGCCTTAAAATGATGGAAATCTGACGGCAGATGTGTCTTCTCTCCACATATTGTGCTCATGTGTGTTTATGTTTTAAAGGAAAGGAGGTAGAAACCCCCCTCCCCCCCGAGTTTTCCGAAAAGGAAATACCTGTATTCAAGTGAAGGGCAGCAACCGAGTCTGTGAACGACTTCAAACATATTTCTCGAATGCATGCAACACTCTAAAAGCATTTCTGACAGTTAGTCTCTTATGACATGATTGCAGCTCAGCCATAATCCATAGCAACCAGGCGAGAAAAACAAATATGCAGCATCAGTAGGAAAAATGTGCTGACTACGACAAGATCACTTGTTGAAGAAATCCTCTCCCGAGAAAGAGAGAACTTCAGTGCGAGGAAATGACTCCCTCCTTCCTCAAAATTGAAACCATGTGTGAGGGAGACGCCCATCTCTCGCCACCAGACTCAAACATCTCTGGAGAGGAAGGGCAAGGAGGGAGAGGGAGAGGGAGAGGGAGGAGGAGGAGGTGGTGGTGGTGGCGTCATGTCAAGGTGAGTCAAGATCACATGACGGGCTGACAAGAGCTGACCACACACACCCGGCTGCCAAGAATCTGGAGAATTTTGTTTTTGGTAACTGAAGGGTTCCATGGGAGGTCCTCTCCAAACACTGCTGTGGAGAAAAGCCAGGAATGCGCTGTCACACACACACACACACACACGCACACACACGGAGATGTGGTGTTCCTAATCTAAACAGTCTGGGTGAGAGACGACACCGTTTAAACAAGCCACGCTTCCTTCCAGGCCCGGGCCTCGCTCAGGGAATGATGTGTGCACGACTCCCGCACTGCATCTGAACCGTCCAATCTACGTTCTTCCTCAGACGTCCCCATGTTTGATGATAAATCTATGTTGCACACGAATCCAAACCTCTCTAAATCAGTAAAGAAGGAGGATTTAATGCAGGACTGGTGCAGTAGGCTGCATTATTTTTAGCATTTAGCAATGACAAACGTTTGAAATCCAAACATTTGATTAAATCCAAAAGTCCTAGTTAGTAGGATTTTCAAAATATAAATATAAAGAATGTGGGAAATCTTTTAAATTTCACAATAAAGATTATAAAGAACAATAAAAACCTGAATAAATAAACTAAATGAATTCAACGTTGTACAGAACCCACAGTATAAAGCCAGAGCTCATCAACACAAGCAGGTCTCCTACTGGCAACTTTCAAAACCCTTTCATTCTCACTGTGATTTTATGGGAAGGGAAGTTGTAGTAACATTTAATGTTTTTTGGAGTGGGGGGGGGGTGTCAGTGTTGAAATGGCGGGCTCTGGCTCAAACCCCGCGTTCTACAGTATCACTTTTCCAAATGTTGTAACACACACATGGGCCGTCCAGATTGCAGCTAATTTGTGTGTCTTAAAGCCTTTTTACCATTTCAAGACCTGAAAGTGAGTTCAGTATGGACGCCAGGAAGAACACAGAATAAATTATTTTGATGTCTTGATCGAAACATAATGCGTTTCAGATGGGAAAGCGCCGCCTTGCCATTTCCCACCCAACAACTTTCCGCTGTTCGACTCCCTTCCCTGAGAATCTTTTGGAAAAGCGTCCGATAGGTGACACCGCCGAAACAAAACAGGCTCCACGCTGAGCGGCTATCATCAACACGGCACAGGAAGTACACGCCGAGGAGGAATGTGGGATCCCCCGCAAGAATTTATTTTGCCATTTTTCATGGTTGTCTTGCAATCAATCACAACCGCACTGCATTGTTAGAGGGCTTTTTCTTTTTTTTCCAGCCCTTGCCGCCTGGTACCAATCACTGGAAAAACACAAGACCCTGCAACTGAAAGCTGTAAAGTTTGGTTGACATTTGGAAACACACACACACACACACACACACACACACACACACACACACACACACACACACACACACACGTCGGTGTTGCTGGGTAGAGTGTGTGAGGTCTTGTTGTTCACACATCTCCAAGTGTCTGCACATATTCCTATGAATTTACCTGGAGGTTTGAAGTATTTACAGCTGCAAATCCTCCCAGTAAATCCTTGCAAACCATTTCGGGCTTCGCAACACAAACAGAAAAAATAAATATTAAAAAGAAACGAAGGCATGTGGCGTGTTGAAGTGTGTGTGTGTGTGCAGCTCTGAACGCTTTCCAGGAGAGAACTGCCATTTATAGCAGAGTTATAACTGCATTAGGACTAAACTCTGCTTTGAGGTCATCTTCCTGCCAACTGGAAAGATAAGAGGAAATCCCATAGCTAACACACATACACACACACACACACGTAGAAACACACACACACAAAGACCTGGTGACTGTCATCTAATTAGCTCCTGTCATTGTTCTCCCACAGGATCTCTAAATCTGGAAGGAAGACACACACCCTGTCCTCCCTCTCTGTCCTTTAAACACACTGTGACACACACTCCTCCAGCCCCCCTCTGTCGCCTTCTCTTCGACATACAACCCCCAAATGAACACTATTGTGCACAGTGACACGAGAGGATACAGTATGATGTGAAACAATAGCAAACTTCCACTGTGGTCGCGGAATGAATGAAAAACCAAATAGTTTTCCATGACTGAGGAGAAGCTCCTCCAAGATGTAAAAACGTTCTTCCTTCCTGGTTTTTAGGCCGGTTTCCACAACAGCTGGGATAAAAAGCACCACTTAATGTAATAAATATACATGAAACATGGTGGAAAATCTATTCATGCGGAGTGACTCATTATTCAAATTCCCAGATGTTCCCCCTGACTTCCATCAAAAAAAAAAAAAAAAAAAAAATTCCATGATGTTTAAGACATCAAGACGTCAAGACATCCCACTTTCTTTCACACGATAAAAAAGTCGAACCGACGTGAAATTTTACTTTATCTCACGGCAGCACGTGCGGCGGGACACATGAGGTGGGCCAGCTGCATCTGACAGCCCGGAGGTACGGCAACAGGTCTGCAGGCCCGCTGATTTACTGCATAGTTGACATAGCAGAGCAGAACTGGGCTGAAAGCTGGGTGGGCGCATGTGTGTGTGTGTGTGTGTGTGTGTGTGTGTGTGGAGAGCCGTTAAGCCTTCAGAGACACCTGTGGAAACAACAGACAGCGACAGGCACGTCCAGCCATCTTACACCAGCCAGCTTGAATATATAACCTCTCACCAGCCAGACACATTCAACACAAACAAGAGCAGACGACAACGAGCAGTTTAAAGTGAACCATTAGTTGCTGTGGTTACGGAGGTACCTGTTTCTTACACTGCCATCCTCCCAACTCTGAAAAGCCATTACTACAATATAACTATATAATACAGTGTGACAGGCTACAATACAATGTTGCAATATGTGATGAGTCACAATGTAATATGTTACGATACGATGCACTATGTTACTATATGATGACAGTTAGTTCCCACCAAGTAATTTGATTGGTCGAGAGTCATTCCATGGGAGGGAAGAAGCCTGGTTACTTCAGCGCACACCTCCAGGTGCAGTTTGCGGGTCAGGAAAAGGTTTATGTGTTGCTTAGCAACAGTCAAATGATGGAATAAACAAACAAATTATAATCTGTTGTTGCTTATGACTGTTAACTGATATATCACACTGGGTCGGTTAACTGTGTCAGAATACAATACGACTTATCATACGATGTATTTTACGATGCGACGTTATGATGCAATAAGTTATTGTACGAGTTTTAGAATATGTTATGTGGCAAAGCGTTGCGTTAAATAAAAACATGTTATGATACAGAATATGTTATGTGTTTTTCATGGTTGTAATTGATAAGTATTCACCTCTCAGATCTCATCCAACAAATACTCCTCTCACCCTCGAAGTGTGCGAATCTAAAAACACACTAAAGATTGTGTTTATGACACCGAGAGCCACGTTAACAACAGACTGAGTCACGTTCGACTCCACATTACAACTAATACAAAAACCATAAATGAAGTTGAACATGTGCAACCAAGCAGGAAACACAGTGGAGCAGGTCCAAGTCAGGTGGGAGAGTCAAGTTTCTAAAATGTTGGACCGGCTAAATACCAGACAAAGATTTTAGTGTCCCACAGAAAGTCCTTCCATGACATTAGCAGACAGGAAGCCTATTAATCTCTCCCAGGATTTCACTGTCCTTCACTTCACACGCTGCATCGCCACCACACCGCCGCTCGGCAAATTCCGCCGTGATTCAATTTTCCCTTGGAAACGAGGTAGGGCTTTAGTGAACCACGCCACTTCTCTTTCACTCCACTGAGGATCTGGGCCTGCTGGGTACAATAGGGGTCTTTGTGGAGGAGGAAGTAGAAACCTTTAGTCTGAGGAATGCCAGACATGCGGCTCCAATTCGCTGAGCCCAGAAATGTGATCCAATGCAACAATGGCTGCCGACGGAGGAATGAAGGGGGCACAGTGTGTGTGTGTGTGTGTGTGTGTGTGTGTGTGTGTGTGAGCAGCAGAGGAGCTTACAGAGTGCATGAAAAAGTCTCATAACTAAGCTGTCCAGTATTACAGGGGAGGCAGCACATGCAACATGCTCTAGAGACCACAGAAGGAAATGATAATCTAGGCTGCTGCAGCCAAACTGTCATTATGCATCTTCCTTTAAAACTCCCTTTATCTGATTCTCTTCCTGTTTTCAAAGTAGGTCGTCTTTTCATGTGCAGAGGTGGCAGCTGTTCAATAAACAAAAAAACAACACATTTTTTCCCCACAAGGTTCCCAGGGATAAATATCATCAAATGAGATCCATGGGGTCCAACACATGTCTCTTTGGGAGACCTTGATGTGAAGACGCCTGAGCTCCTGAGGTTCCTTTTTTATTGATGCTTTTATTCCTTTTAGCGTTGGGAAATTTCCTAAGAGAGTTGAAGCAAACATCCTCCACTGATTTCTGTCATAGGAAAAAACACTGCAGTCCTCTCCAGAACCAGTACAGCATGAATATTTCAACAGCGTAAAGGTGTGAGATCTGTTTAAACCGATCTCCACTGAGCCTGAAACAATTAGTCGATTTTCACAGAAACTGAAACAGCAATTTTAAAGCTTCTCTAATACTTTTTGTAATATAAACAATGACTATGTGTAATGTGAAAGGGGTCGAACCCACATAGATTTATCACCAAATTCTGCTGTGTTCATCCCCTTGGTTTTTACGACATGCAACAAATGGCACCAAAATAGCAAAGTTAGCAACTCCTCAGTGAACAGAGTGAAGCATTTAGCAGCTAAAGAGCCACATATTTCCCTCAGGAGCAGGTGGAGACCAAAACAGAGCTAAAATCAGATGCCACAAACACAAAAGGTGATACTATGTCAGTGTTTGGCTTGTTGTGCTAATACTAAGTGGCCAAAAAAATCTGTTTTTTTCCATTTATAGCATCGTAAATGAAATATCTTTGGGTTTGGACTGTTGGACAAACAATTTAAAGACATTATCTTTCGCATTGGGGAATTGTTTTTGCTATTTTTCTGATCTTTTAGAAACTAAATTGTCAATCATATGATAGCCAGTAGAGATCTACCTGCTTACAGGCTCACAGATGCGACTTTTCTCATCTCCACTGTGGAAAATGAGAAGAGGCCTCAGGCATGCAGGCGCTGAGCCAAAGGGGCTCCTCTGTTTACCTTTGCTGGCTTCCTATCCTCCTGTTTGACTCTCAAACAAACACCTATGCAGCCCATTCAGACATGCAGGCAGACAACGTAAACCGCTTCCTCTGCCGGTGAAAGAAGTGCGAAGGCATCAAAGGCTGCGGCCTCGGCCCCAGCGGACCCCACCCTCGGGCTGGGAAGCAAAAGCGAGTCACAGGGGGGGGGGGACAAATGGAAAGCAACACAACTGGCAGGCATTTACCTTAATGACCTGAATTACTCTCATCACCCTCCCTTTTAAACACACACACCAGGCTGCTCATTAGGCCACTCATCACTGCCGAACAAAGACCACCACAGTGTGTGTAGGTGTGTGTTTGTGAGGGAGGTGGGGGGTGGCATGGCAATCTAGTGTTTGTCTTCATCTCTGCATCCTGGTCTTTGTCTTTGAGTGCATGTTGGGGTCACACACACACACACACACACAAACACACACCTCTCCTGCACACCTCAGGAGATAAAGCCGATGGGTGTCGCTACAAAGGGACCGGTCAAGCCGAAAGCTGTATCAATCAGACACTGGGTGTGTGTGCATGGTTGTGTGTGCGAGTGCTGGGTGGGGGTTAGGATTGAAGTTGGGTGGGTGGGGGTACTTGGCTCTATCTCAGACCCACTGATCTAATAGGAACCGCCCCCCCCCTCGCTGTTTTATGAAGCTGAAAGAAAAAGAAAAATGGCTCCAGGCGGCCGGCCAACACAGTGCAATAAAACATAATTCTCACTCTGGCCGGCTTTCATTTCTCCCACTTTCCACTTCCACAACACACACACACTGTAGGGGAGGAGGAATTTGAAATTTGAGCTCCTTGTTTTGCTTGCTTGTAGTGTAACTCTGCTTGGAAATGAGTATTAACTGCTGATACATTTATTTTCACTTCTTCTCAAGGGGGAGAAGAAAAAAAAAAAAAAGCGAATACAAACTTGAGGATGCTGCGTTCGCTGCTCCAGCTGTGGCTCCGTTTGTGCAAAAGGAGAATTTTGTAAACGGATTGTGTAGTTTTTGTGTCATTCTGATGTCTACATGCAAGAAACTCACTCCCAACATCGCTCAGGAATTCCAGGCCAGAGACCCGCAACAGCTGGCTGTCGGCTCGTCCCCGCCCATCACACACACAACATACGCCTCACTCACGCCTGACTGCTGTGCTATTCACTGCTCAGGCAATGATGGATGGGAAAGTGGGTTTGTTTACACACACACACACACACAGACACACACACACACACTGGGGACGCAGCAGCTGGTTTGGACCCAAAGTCCAACCACCAAGCGATAAAAGCTGCAGAGCCAGTACACGTGTTGCACAACTAAACTTCCCCAAATATCGCAACGAGAAGTGTGTTCTCCAGATGTATGAATATGAATATTTCCTGTTTCTGCTTTGGCATGCATCATGAAATCCGTTCCTCTGTTGCATTTGGAAATAAAACTAATCATTTCCATGTAGGTAAAAGGTGGGTGCTACCTAATCTGAGGCGAAACGTGTGTGGCTTGTAGGAGGATTAACCCAGCTTTACTGATTAAAATGGGTCACAGAATAATTTCATTATTCAAAAATGCAACATTTACACCTCCTTTAAATGTCACGATTTGGACATTTCACCTGAGCTTTAGTGTTCGTTATCAAAGATGCAGAATTTACCTGTCTATAGTTAATGATAATCGACTTTTACACAAATCTTATCAGCTGTTTGCATGTCCACAGGGGCCAAGTAGGGAGGGGGGGGGGTTGCGCAAGAGAGCTGCATGTCTGGACACGTCTGGACATTTTACCACAACTGATTGGCTGTGACAGAAGAAGTGAAGCGGACAGGGAGAGGTGATGGACAGCGGTGATTACCTGAGGTGTCCCAGAGGCTGAGCTCGATCCTCTGCGTGTCGATCTCGAAACTGGCTGTGTAGTTTTCAAACACTGTGGGGACATAGCTCTGCAGGGAAACATGGGGGGAGAGAGAGAGAGAGGACATCAGAGAGGAAGCCTTGTGGGAAATGAAGTGTTTAAATATGAGTTTGTTATGAAAATGGACAAAATGACAACAACTAGCACTAATACTTAACTATACAACAATACTACAGCACTGTTGCCACTATTTTACCTGCATTTGTGCAAAGCTTAACACTTGCAACACACAACCATGCATCATCACTACTGAAGCATCAACCCAATCCGACACACATAAAAAAAAAATTAAAAAAAAAAGAGCAATAGGTGACTGGTGATCACGTGACTGTGTATTAGTAAAATCAGGTTAATTAGCATCATGTTAATCAGTGTGAGGTGTTCAGGGTCTCACCTCGGGGAAACAGTCCTTGGCGAACACGTGAAGCAGCGCAGTCTTCCCGCACTGGCTGTCCCCCACCACCACTATCTTGCACTTCACACTCTGACTGGGATCCATGCCGGATTTCAGAGATAATTTCTGACACGAGCGTCTTTCCTTCATTGATTTTAAATCGGGATTAAGTATAAAAAAATGAGTCCAATCCTGCTGAGAGAGTGAGTCGTCGAGATGTGAAGCGACAGATGCGGTCGCGGTGTCGTCCTATCCTCCCAGCCTGCCTGACCGCCTCCCCCAGTGTCTCCGCCTGTTCTGAGCCGGTAAATGCCATTTGCCTGTATTTATAACGTCGCAGGAGCCAATGGCAGCGGCTCTCTCCCTGCCTGGATGAAGCTCGTCCCTCCCGCGAGCCTTCCCGCGAGCCTTCACACAGCAGCCTGCCGGGCCTGGCCACCAAGATGGCGCCCCCTGTGGACTCACCACAACTTTTATATCAATTACGTTAAAAAAAAACAAAAAAAACAAACAAACATTAAAATACAAAGAACGAAGTATATTCAAATTGTCGATTTATTTTTGTTTGTTCCTAAGGCTTTGTGAAATTACCAAAAATACCACATAAATACACAACATAGCTTGAACAGCAGGGTTGGCAGGACGCTTCAACATGCTAGTTAGCTTCATTTACTGCTTTCATGCCCTCATGTTTGTGATTTGTAAACGCCCATCTTTTCTCAAATATGTATAAAAATACGATAAAGACACAAATTCAACAATATCAGAAAATAATTAAGACATGATATGTTGTGCTTCTATGAAAGGACAGAAATCCAGTCAATGCTACTAGCTTGTTTGCTAAAGCCTAGCTGCTAACTACAATTAGCATCCAGATAACAACAATTATTAAAAATGTACAAATGAAGAAATGTTCCATATTTTTTTCTTTAATTTGAGGCCTAAAGCTAAACCTTAGTAGAATAATATTCAAAAGTGAACTTAGCCTTAACAAAATATTTAATTTTACTCAGTTTAAGGCTGAAATCATTAAAAAGAAATGCTCTATTAAATAGGCTACTGCTATTCCTCATGTAAATTATAAAATACCTGAAATCAAACTAATTACTCCAGAACTAGTATCATGTTGCTTATGTTTTTTGGGTTCATTATAACCACTACAGTACATTTATAATAACCTAATAACACATTACCCCCCAAACTAGGTTAATTTATGCGCTGTACACAATGCCTCAAAGGTTCTTAATTGGGGCATCTTCCCCTATCTTACATACATATATAGGAATAAGAATAAATAAAAACTAGGCTACATGAAAATAAATATTTTGCATGAATAGAACTACATAATTATTACTATTAGTAGAAGTACTGGTAAAGTGTGACTAATATAATAAAATGATGTTTTACTATACCACACTGTATGTTATCACTCATTTCTTATTTCTTATATCTTATTTTTATCTTGGTCCCTTTTGTGAAAAAAATCAGCAACCAACTATCATCATTGTTCAGTTGTAATGGTGCTGATGAATTAATGCAACATTAAACAGGTTTCTGCTGGGGCAGAGCACAATAAAGGTCCTGTTGAGGCTCTTCTAACTCATCTTTCTATATATTTTACACACAGAGAATGAGCACTCAGGCTGCTTATTAGCTGGACATTGTGAGCAGGTATTGATTGATTCCTTAAGAACTATCCCATTTTGAGCTCTCAGCCACATGAAAAAAAATAAATGAACCCAGTAGTGGATGCTCCTCATTTCCAGTGAGGATTCCCTCATTATCTGTGAGTAATACATGCACTCGTTGTGGTATACACAGCCCGGGAAAACACATTAGCTTTTTCAACCAGATTCTTCTGTGAAGACAGAGAGAAAAGGGTAAAATGGAAACTAAATTTCCCTACGGAGTCGATAATGCACCACATTCACCTTTTTCCATCTTTTTCAGAGTGTGAACAGGAACCCCTCTGCTATTAAGGCCTCATCTCTCAGCCTTCAGGCTACTTCCCCAACACAGCATCAGCACTAATTTTTACAAAAATGGGAAAACAACAGCGTTCTGCATCAGCTCTCCCCTCTGCGACAGAGCGATTGGACGCTCTCTGTAGCTGGCAGCGTTTTTACAGTGAGACAGCTCCACCCTGCAGGCTGTGTGGTGGGAGTCCCGTCTGTTGTGTGGGAGCTCTGCCTCCAGGACACAACACTGCCAGGAGAGAAGGGACGGGGGGATTTTACACACTATAGCTTTGCTATTTGGCTCCTATCTCCCTCATGCATTTGACCTCATTCAAATTCTGCCTGGAACAAGATTGTGGAGCTTTTACCTGCATGTGATTCCGTGCTTTTTGCTTTGTGTATTTGTATGATTTCGTTTTTTTTTTTTTGTTGCTAATCTGATATCCTTTCTCTTACCTTTACGTGTGTCCAAATAAACCAAGCATGCTGAGACTGAAGAGGAGAGTAGAGGAGACAGACAAAACCACATTAACTGAGGTGTTTACACATTATGCCTGTGCCCTTCCCCAGTTTTATCCAGGCTGCCTGCCTGTGTGTGTGTGTGTGTGTGTGTGTGTGTGTGTGTGTGTGTGTGTGTGTGCTGCTCTCTGCTATAGCCTGCAGCGCTGCCAGTCTCACTTGGGCGCAGCCACACATTTGGGCCAGAGTGAGACTGTGCAGACTGACATCATCCAGAAAACATCTTCAGAAGAAAATTGCAACCATTTATATATTAGTCTGTAATGTTTGATTCATTCAGGAGATTTTTTCCCCTCTATTTTTTTATTTATTTCCTACATTTCCCACAGTGCATTGCAGCAAACCATAGAGAAGGAGTTTAAAAATACCGAAGCACTTTAAGGGTAGTGAAAAGAGTGGTATTCTGGTAGAGAAAAAGCTAAACTCATGTCTTGTATTTGCATTGCATTCTGGTCTATTGAGTCTTATGTCAATACAGAAATTGGTTCAATGTCTCTAGTGCAACAAATTTCTGTATTATTGATGTTTTAGATGGAAATAAGGGACAAAATGGACAAAGATGGACACACAGTCGACATCAAACTGGCTCTTTCTGGTAATGGCGTTGGCAGACAAGTACAGTTGGCCAAATACTGTACATGGTTCCCAGAATAGAAATGAGGGTACCACCTGTTTCTGGTCACACGGTGCTGTCAACATCCTGTAGATCTGGTGGATTTCCATGTGGACATGCTAACACCAAATCCCCATCACATAGTCTTTATACTTTTACTGTATTGATCTTTTCATTGTCATTAGGTGTTAAGAGGCTTTTAACAGGAGGAAAGTGAAGCAGAGCCACAGAGTAATCCTATACAGGAAATAATGCGGCTCAACATAAAACATTTACAGTAGCCTAAAGCATCAGCTGAGGGATGATGTTGTGGTATCCTTGACTGAAACATCGATGAGCTGAAATACTGTATGTTTCCTTTGGGAGTCTCTTCACTGCGTTTGAAGCTACCTGCTACCTTCACTCCCTGTCATATACAATATATAATATGATGCAGAAATGCCTCTGGAAAGTGGTGGATTTCTGTTAGCTCTGTGAACATATAGATAAACTGTACATTTGAATGAACACCCTGTAAATGATAAAACTTAAAGCCATATATTGTATGAGATGAATACTAGATGACCTTGGTCTGTTTTGGCATAGTCAGAAACAAAAACAACATTAAATCAGTATCAGATATTTTTACAGTAATAAATAATGTGAATTATTCATACTGAAAATACCCCGGAGGCAGCAAATCTGTAGTTTCCAGTGATAAATTCACATTTGGGTGTTTCTTAAAGCCAGCACCCATCGCTATCTGTGATGTCCAGCACAGTTCAGGTCTGGGTCATGCACCGGTGCACACAATTCTTCCTGTGTGTGGGAGCGTATTGGTGCATCAAATGAGAGGCGGTGGGGGGGGGGGGGGTGCCATATTGCTGCAATGATTTCCAAAAATTTTAGGCAAGGGCATAGATTGAAAATGCCGATTAAAAAAAAAAAAATAGCAGTTTCTCATTCACCAAACAGGTCACAAGATGATGAAGAATGAGTCACAAATAACAGAATTTGACCCAGGTCTGAAGCGGTTTGGTTTTAGCCAGCAGGCGAGCAGTGCTGGAGGTGTGTGACGAGTCTAGGTCACTGGGTCTCTCTCTCTCTCTCTCTCTCTGCCCTGACTGCACGCTGCCCCACAGTTATCTCTGTCGACGTGCATTCAATCAGCGGGGCACTGACATTTACTGCTTGGGCAAATACAGCACACATTCACTTGTTTCAGTTTGAGAGGGATTTCCTCGACGGTTAGTCACAGCGACTGGGAGATTTAGGGCAGATTCAAAACAGTTCAGGGAAAAATACTATGGACGTCTCCTTTGTTTTTGATTCAGAAGACTAAAGATCCTGATATTTACTTTTAATATGGAAAAAAAATATGAACAAAAACACTTTCAGGTCACTTTTATGAAAACTAATGTGTAAACATCGACGTAGTCTTTCAATAACACTTTAACTGCACTGTCCACGGAGTCATCTCGATGGCTTTCGGGCTGAAAGCCTTACATAAAATCTTCAAAGTGCCTCTGTAAAATAAAATACATCTTGCTGAACAGGAGATGTCAGAGAGTTGTTTGACCTCCTGCAGTATTCTGCCTAACTACCTCAGCTCTCAGCTCCCAGCCTTGATCTCTGGCTGACAGCAGCAGGGGGCTGCAGTCTGAAAGTGCTCCAGTTTCAGAACAAGGAGAGATGTTATTTCACACCAGCTGGGCTACTGAGTGACCCTTAATGACATATGTGAGTGTGTTTGTGTGTGTGTGTGTGTTTTCACGCGTGTGTGAATACTTGTGTGTGCATATTCACACGCAGATTGTTGTTCCTGAATGTAATTTGTGTGGAAAGTAAATGCTTAGAGCTAAAATGATGATTTATTAGCTTTAGCTAGTTAGCCAATTCAGCTACATGTTTCCAGCCGATTTGTTCCAGAACAAGAACATCATAAAAGGGATTTCATACATGGACATGATGGCTACATACATGTTATCATGCTAAATGACTGAAGCTAAAGCTACATGCAACGGGCAAATCTTCACCAGAAGACAGCTCTGCTCTTGTTTTGCAGTGTAGAGCCACAGAAGGAAAAATGAAAGATCATAACATGACAATGTGTTGAAACCTCACTCACATACATGCACAAGACTTGTGATGTATGTCCCAACAGGAGAAACGATGTGTTTAGGTAATGTCTTGGTCTACCAACTGGACTGAGA